CTCATTCTACATTTGAGACTATTCTGCAGGCATTACAGGCAAAAGGCTCCCCCAAAAAAACCCCTCCTTGCATTTCAGTTGATTGTCACAAAGAAATGAGTATAGCATCATCCTCTCCTACATTCCCCTCCACTGCCCTTCCTAGGGTTGCCAGCACCCGACTGGAAATGGAGGATCCCCCAGCCCCAGCCCTGCCCAACCACCAATCAGCTGGACTTACCAGGAGCAGGAGGGAGCCCAGGCTATGTCGCTAGCAACATGGCAATGTCACTTCCGGTGTGTACCAGATGTAAGATCATCACATCAGCGATGTCTGGGTAACTCTCTGGTATCTGGGCAAAAACTCTGTGGTAAAAGCCATTTTTACCATAGAATTTTTGCCCAAATTCCAGAGCATCCCTGGAACGTCCCAGTGTGATGATGTCACTTCCAGTACCTGCTGAAGTGATGTCACCATGTCGCCAGCAACAGCCTGCTCCCATTGAGTCCCATCCTATCCCCTGCCGGTTGCCAGGAAGGACCTAGCAAGCCTAGCCCTTTCCTTACCCAAATGGACTTTTTTTGCCCAAATTCCAGAGCATCCCTGGAACGTCCCAGTGTGATGATGTCACTTCCAGTACCTGCTGAAGTGATGTCACCATGTCGCCAGCAACAGCCTGCTCCCATTGAGTCCCATCCTATCCCCTGCCGGTTGCCAGGAAGGACCATGTCGCCAGCAACAGCCTGCTCCCATTGAGTCCCATCCTATCCCCTGCCGGTTGCCAGGAAGGACCTAGCAAGCCCAGCCCTTTCCTTACCCTAATGGACTCAACAGCCCTTGAGCACAAGCTTTTCTTGGGCTCCTTGCTGTTCACCAGCTGCTATGCTGTCCTTGGTTACCAGCCATCTTGCCTGCTGTGAGATGAAGCGGTTCCATAAGCCTGCACAAAGCCTCAGGCGCCATGCCATGGAAAACATGAGGACAGAGAACTCCAGATGCCATTAGGATGTTTCTTCCAGCACATGTAGGCAACCCCTTTCCCCCCTCTTCCAGCTACCTGGAAATTTAATCAAGAGACTCTATTCATGGTTGCTTAGCAACTAATCGCTCACCCATCAGCCAGCTGGATAGGGCCATCAAGAGACAATAGCCCTAGCCTGATGATTCAATCACCCTTCCTCCAGGTGCCAGTCCCCAGACCAAGTTACTAGCTCTCAATATTGACCACCCCCTAGCTCTCCTCCCCCTTTCCCTCTAACCAATAGTATGTTTTATGGGACGAACTAACAGGAGGTGTCACAGGGGGATGCTTCCCAACCACATGGTCTCTCTCTCTCATCGACCCCTATCTAAGCTTTGTCCCTCTTACGTCCAGCTTGTGAAGCACGGGTGAGGAGCCTATGTCCAGACTTATGAGACCACACCAGATTCATCAAGAGGACGTTTTTATTTGACGTCAGGTTTGACCTGCACTGCAAGATGCTCAAATGGCCGAAGCTTGAGCTATTCAGTAACAAAGCATTTATACCAGCTACAGGTTACACGTCATACAAGCCAAGCACTTAGCAGTGGAATTTTCCTCTAAAACTTTTTTCTGTTACAGGAAACATCTTTTACAAGTTAGCCCGGAAAACTAAACTCTTACACCCACATGGCTTTCTTTGAAGCTCGACCACAGACACAAGTAAGATAGTGAAATAGTGACAGCTAGCTAAATAGGTCACACCTTGCAACAGGCTTTTAGGGGAAATTCAAAACCAAGGAACAAGCTTTTAGGCAGGAGGAGGGAAAAGGTGGGGGTCGAGGGTTTCAAGTGTCAGGTGTTCAAGGCCTGAAAACTTGTGTGAGACAAGGCTGTCTGGATTATTAAACTATTATATTTAATATCGCTTCACTTGCTATCCCAATACCCTCCCTCCATCTTTAAACTCTAGATCTGCAGCTAGAGTCCACGTGTTTTCTGCCAGTTCAGAGCACGTGTTCCCCATTTTCCATTCTTATCCCCTCCATTCTTCCATCGGAATGGCTCAGTCAAAGAGGACAGGTAAATATTGCCCCATCAACTAATTGTCAGATCCCAAAGCAGGAGAACAAACCCACGTTCCAAAGAAGTAAGATTTATTTCCAAAGCATGGTTGATCATGAACATACAGAGAATTGTCCAGAATGACTACAATACACAGGGACAGTATAATATAGGAACTTCAAACTTGGTTAACCCAATGGGCTAAACTCCCTCGCAAGGGAGTTGATTAGAAAAGGCGCGAAGCAGCCTGAGAACTCCAACGGCTCATACCATAAACACAAGTTCAGTTCACACGGGAATCTAATTAAGCAAGGCAAGAAGACATAACACTCCATCGTCCACCTGTAGGAGAAGCTTGGCAGTTACAGTCGCATACCAGAAGAGAATAACACGGGGAGGGAGGGAAGAGGGACACATCCCAGAGAAATGGCAGCTCGCTGACACCATGAAGCTTTGGAGTGCCTGAAACCAGCAGCTCCTTGAGTGTTGAGTTCTGTCCATGTGCCGCAGAAACACCCCTCCTTGCCCCCCTTCTCCCTTTCCATTCTCCTCCTCCTCCTCCTCCTGCTGTGCCTCCGTTCCTCATTCCCCTCGCGTCTGTGCCCGCATTCACCTTGACTTTATTACGCGTTGCTTGCGGCCTTTGGGGAATCCAGCATATGGCGTTCTCTGCTGTTAGCTGCCACTTGCTTGCGTTGTCGCCAGAGGAAGTCCTCCTGGGCACGCTTCGGGTGTATCGCAGCAGTGGAAAAATCTGTGGCCTCTGGAAGATGAACCCCCACCCCCCATCCGTGCCGCGGGACTTTCAGGCCCCTTCCGATACCTGAGCTTCAGCCTCAACCACAACAACAGAGAGTGGCTTTTCCACCAGCTGCAGCTCCACTTTCACGCTCTGCACGGAACAGTTCCCTCTCTGAGCGCTGCCCAGCCCCTGCTTGGAATGCCGCCTTTTCTGATGCCGTGTGCTGATGGGATGCCTTCGTCCAGTTCCGGGAAGGTGATGTCTTCCCACCTAACGGAAGGTGCCCCAGAGAGTTGGGGGGGGGCACTGCGGTCGGCTCATCAGCCCGCCAGGGACAAAGGTCTTGTGGCCAAGGAGGGGTAGGCTGTACCGCTTCAGGCTGCCACAGGAGGGCAGAGTGACCGGTGTGCGTAGTGTGTGCGTAGTGTGTGTGTAGTGTGTGTGTGTGTGTTACATGGCAGAATACGGCGATTTTTGTAGCGCAGAAGACTAGAGACCAGAGGGAAGGCTTCAGACCTGGCCTTCTGCCTCACGGAGCAATTTTCTGCACCCAGGGATTTCATTTCGTTTGTCTTAAGGAGGGTCTGGGCCCCCATTTGCAGTCCAGAGCAGGAGAGCTGGGGGGGGGGACGGACTCCCCCAGTGAGGACGAGACCAGACCTGGCCCCTTCGCGTGGAGTGGGAGGAGAAGGGTGCCTTGTTAGAACAGGGAGGTTTAGGGATACCCTCTCCTCCTCCTCCTCCTCCTCCTCCCTGTCACATGATTGTCACATGATGTGCAGAATGCGGCGGCCAGGCTGGTGATGGGCCTCCCCAAGTGGGAGCACATCCGGCCTGGGTTGAAAGCGCTGCACTGGCTGCCAGTAGCATACCGAGTCTGCTTCAAAGTGCTGGTACTTACCTTTAAAGCCCTACATGGCCAGGGTCCGACTTACCTGAGGGACATATACCCCCAAGAGCACTTCGGTCGGGGACACAACATCGCCTGGTGATCCCAGGCCCCCGGGAGGTAAAGCTTGCTGCAACCAGGGCTAGATCCTTCTCAGTGGCGGCCCCTACCTGGTGGAACGAGCTCCCGGAGGAGATCAGGGCCCTGCGGGACCTTATGCAGTTCCGCAGGGCCTGCAAGACGGAGCTCTTCCGCCAGGCTTTCACATAGGGGCCGCCGCTGCCACCACCACCAATGGTGGCAATACCATCGGGAAATAGGAATCGCCCTTGGAAGTTCCGCCACAAATTGCGTGGCATGGACAATGTGGAATTGGCTTGAACCATCTGCCGGACAGTGTCACCCCAGTGGGGAGGATTTGAAGATGCCATCAAAGCCACTCAAGACCATCTAGTTTACCAAAAAAAGCACTTTATTATTGTATTGTTGTTATTATCCATGATTTTACCGTTTTATGTGTTTTTATGTATGGGCGCATGCCCCTTGTAAGCCGCCCTGACAAGTGCCATGACACGTGTCTGTCCCGTCCGTGGTGTCCGGCTGGTCCTGGGAAGGAACGGTGTGGCCTACGAAAGGTTGGAAGCCATTGCTCTGAAGCGCCACGTACACCCCTGGTGTTGTATCTGAGAAGCAGTTCGTCTTTTGGGCTGTTGTGCATGTTGGGCGGATGGGCATTTGGAAAACGTGTTGTCCTGAGGGAGGGAACCTGCTCTGAGCGATGGCCGGGGAGCGGAGATGTTCCTGCCTTGCGTGGGGCCAGCCCAGGTCGGAAGGGATCACGTGTGCCTGTTTCTCAGTTTCCGTCTCTTGTCTGTTCTTGTCGTTTGCAGTTCGGCTCCACGAGAGTATCTCAGAAGAAGGGTTCCACTACCTCGTCTTTGATCTGTAAGTGTCTTCTGTGCGGCTTTGATCCTTCCATCAGGGACCCCACCCTGTGGAACGAGATGTGGGCCATCCTCCCCCCCCCCGCTCTCCTCCATCAGTGCCTCCCGCCAAGGTTGTATCCATTTGCTGGGCCCCGGAGGGCCCCCAAATCAGTCAATCAATCAATGCAGGTTGTTGTACTAGGGCAGTGATGGAGAACCTTTTAAAGACTGAGTGCTCAAACTGCGACCCAAAACCCACTTATTTATCGCAAAGTGCCAACACGGTAATTTAACCTGAATACGGAGGTTTTACTTTAGAAAAAACAACTCATACATTAACAAGATGATCCAAAGAAAGTAAGGAAAGCAATCCCAAATGCTTTCATTTACTTAAAATTATTTGGCAGAGAATTCGACACTTTAATGATGGTCTGGGCCTGGCTGGGGCAATGGTATACTTGCCCACAAAGAGGGCTATGAGTGCCGCCTCTGGCACCCGTGCCATAGGTTCACCACCACTGCATAGAGGAGCCTTAGTTCTGCACAGAGAGCAGCTGGGTTTTGCAGCCCAAATAAATCTATGCAGGTTTTCTAACCAAGTATTTGGCAGTTTTTGTATATTTCTATCTCTGCAAGTTATGTGGAAGGCAAAGAATGGTGCGAGGGGATTTCGGCTACGTGCTGCCCAGCTGCATTTCAGCGGCTGCTGGTACTCAGGATTTTCACCGGCTGTTGCTCGTGGATTTCGGGCAGACAACTTTGGGACCCGCTTTCAAGAGCCGAGTTCTGCAAGCGATGCCACATGGGGTGTGGGCTCCCCCTGCCCCGTGCTTGCACAGTCTTAAGTTTGCACACACAGCCTTGGCTAGGTCTGACCTGGCACCTGCATTCCACTCCAAAGACTACCACGCATCATCCCCTCCCACGCCCACTGCCGGGGTTAAGCAGGGAGAGGAGGGGGCTGGGCCTCCACTGCAGTGCACGGCGGGGGGGGGATCCCTCTCTGCAGTTGACCCGCCAGAGGAGGCCTGCCCACCCCCACCCCCCGCCTGTTTTGCCTGGAGCTGCCGGACCAGGAGGGGGTCAGTTTTGAGCTGCAGCGAAGAGCTTGGTGGGGGTGGGGAAGGAGTCGATTTTGGGCACCTCAGCACCAATGCTCCCTCTAAGCTGTGGAGTCTTGTGAGCAAAAGTTCTACTTTGTGAGCTACCGGCATTCAAGTTGTGAGCGAGCGATTTGGCTCCTGCAGAAATTAGCATGCTCTGGAGCCCTCCTTCCTGAGCGAAGTCAAAAATGTGTGAGCCAGAGGCTGAAAAACTGTGAGCTAGCTCACTCCAACTCAGCTTAGGGAGAACACTGCTTCGCACCAAGCTGATCCCGGCCCAGAGGCTGTGTCTGCGCTG